ATATAGTTTGGCCGTGACTTTTCAAATGCTACGGCCAGACAAATTTTTATACGGCCAGATTTGAGGAATCTGGCCGTCAAAAAGGCCAAATGGCAACCCTGGTTCAGCCGAGGGGGAGTGGCTTTTATATGGTGACGTCATATAATATGTCGTATAATTATGCCGTCTACCAAAAAACATCACACTACACTGTGTGTGAATGTCAATTTTAGCAAGGCGAGCAGGCTGAGGGTTTAATTCTCTTGTGCTGCTGCTATGGGCGGGTGAGGGACGACCGAGTCCATTTTCAGACGATTGGCCTAAGTAGTATGGACGTTCGTAGGTCTAGGCTCCTTCTTACTAAGCCTGGACCAGGAGGTATTTTTAAAAGTCCAGCTGGGTCTTAGTCCTAGATTCTGCGTCCAGCAACCCGAAGCAGTCCGTCTAGGCCTATATGCCTCATTTATGTGAAGTTAGGCCTTTGCAGAATCTGTTGTAAGACCCTCGCCTATGCTACTGATTTTAAGAAGAATCTGCACTGAATAGGCGCATAATACATAACATTTAATTCAAATATACACGACATTGGAAAGTTAATATATTTACTAAAATTACATATTAACATTCGGTTCCCTTTTTCTTTTTTTGGAATATAGCCGGCAATATTGTTTCAAAGCAGTGAACACTAAAAAAAAAAAACTAAAAAAAAAAAAAAAAAAAAACAAAACCATAACTTCTGCCATAAGATTAAGATTGGAAAATCCATAGATGTAGTACAGGGGTGGCGCCGGATTTGCCCCGGGTCCGAGGTTCCCGAAGAGGGGGACGATTTCCGTCGAAAGTGTTCCACGGGGCTTCCCCCGCCACCCCCAGAAAAAAAAAATTTGGTTTGTATTTACTTAGTCGATTTTGCTGTCTACTAATATGTAGAAAATACATTAAATTTTTTCTCCTCGACGAATTGTAGTTTTTCTCCCCGACAGGGGGTGGAATGGAAAGCCAGACCTCCCCGACGGGGCCCAGCAACCACCCCTGCTAAGTACAGTATTATACTATATTAGGGCCTAGGCCATTGAATTGTTTTCATTACTTTCTGTGATTAAGGCCTAATCCCTACCGCTAAAATAAGACTAACTACGCCTATGTATTATTTCGCTCTGCGTAGGCCCATGAATTGATTATTACAGGGATCCTAATTTTTGGAAAGAAAATCACACAGGGACAACTTACTTATTCTTAAATTGTTTGTACCATGAAGGAATTAGTTGTACGGATTGTATTTTGCTGTGCTCTGTGAATACAGACAGGGCCCACACTTTGTCGAGTAAATTAAATCATAGCTGAAGTTATGCATGACGTTAACATACAAAGCCACGCCCCCTCGGCTGAACCTGTTGTATTTAGCAACTACCTCAAAAGTCGGGAAAGGCCGTTTCCCGCCAAAAAAATTAATTTTCCCCAGACCCACCCTTTTTGTGGTTTTTGTGTCTACTGTCACATTTTTTTTGGTGGTTTTTGTATCTACTGTCATAGATTCAAATTCTGGTCCTATAGAAAATGAAATATCAGTACAAATCATGTTGTTAAACGCCAAATTGCGTAGAGTAGGACTAAGACTAAGTGCCATAGAAATTGGTGAAGATGGCAACTGTTTTTTTTTAAGCTGTTTCATATTAACTATACAGTGATCCTAAATTCCTGCACGGGACACAAATTTCAACTTTTAAACCATACCACCAAGAGACGGAAATTGAACCTTGCAAATACTTTTTTCTTGAACTAAGAATTTATTTATATTTTTAATTTTTTACGTTCAATACTAGTGGTACTGCATTAGAGCACATGTTTCAATTATGTCGGATATTGGTTTTCATTAAATCTGTTTTTGTTACTTGATCTGTTTCCAATTTTCGTTACTTGTTTGCAATCGCCTGTTCATTTCGTTCTTCAGCAGACTACATCAAGGGTGTAAACCATCTGCTCCCATCCCGATTGAGCGATGACTCTTTGACCCTGATGGCCATAAGGGCACATAGAAAAAAAATATTAGATTACCTTTAAAAAAAAAAGAAAAGTGATGAGGTTATTTTTTTAATTTATTTTTTATTTTTTTATTTAAATCGGAACAATAGAATATTGCATTTTAAAATAGATGGGGGAGGGACTCTTTATATTTGGCAAGAGTATTGTAATTATTGTATGAAAAAATGGATAAATGTTATTGTTTGTTAAAGAAAATGTATTCCAGTCACACAATTGCATTTTTTATGCTGTTGAAATATATAATGCGGCAAAATAAACATTTTCTTTTGATTCCCGTATCAATATTTCCCAACTTTTTTACTCGCGGGCTGTAATTATATTCAAATTATTTTTTTATGTGCCCTAATCCTGCACAGAAACTACGCCCATGACAATGACTTGCGACAGCCACACAAAACTGTAAATGACATGCTTTTATTTGCCTACTCTCCCTAACCCCTAATTTGGATATTTTATAAACGACATTCTGACCATTTATCCATACACTTGTTCGTACAGATTGTCAACACAAGTTTCAAATGTTCCGACAAGTACCGGTACCTCTGCACAAGATATGCGATTCATGACCTATATTATTCGCAACACTCACATCATTTACTGACATTTATTCATACATAATGATTCACCAACACATATTTTATTCATCATTAACAACCATTTAAAAAAAAAGAAGAAGAAAACTGCTAGTCTTCAACTAAAAATTAGGTCTCAATGCTCTCGTGAAATACTGCCACATGAATACTGATTATAGATCTACAAAGAAGACACTGTCAACGCCTGTTTACACTATGTGGACGATAACAACCAACGAAAGACGTTGAAAACGATATTTTCTCTACAGAACACAATTTAAAAAAAGGAGAGATATTATCATTAGAATTAATAATATCGTTCATATTCAATAATTTCATGTTTAACCGAAACCTTCCACACTTTGTTATTTTCAAAAGGTACAGTATTTATGATCGTTGCATGCTGTCGTATTAACATGTTTTACGCTATTACTTCGAATCATACCATGCAGATAGTTTCCTCCACCCCTCAAGAACGTTCGACTACCACATTGCACTGAAAGTTCCAATAACACTAATTTTGTGTCCAAGCCTAGCACACTAAGCCCCGGTAATTTTACAGCTCTCAAACGACAACACCACAAAGCAGATCCCGCTACGATTTCACCACTACGCGTACGACGAAAATGTGACATCGAAATGTCCATGATTATTCTCAATAATAGTACAGGTTAAAAGTGCATACTCAAGGCCATCATCGTAATAGGTTTCAATATTTCGACTTTAGTCCCATTATGAGCAACGAATGTACAAAAGTAGATCCTCACCTCTTCCACCACCCCATTTCTCTAGACCCCCCCCCCCAACAAATAATGAAAACTTTTCCCCTATTTTTGACAAAAGCTCATTCAGGTAAATTTGACCTACACCTTATGCGTGAACGTACTAACTGCAGAAAACTGGCCTTAAGCGTGTGACGTCATTCATAGACAGGGTAAAAACAGTTCTGTATACAACATTTAAAGAAAAAAATAATCAATGGTTATTTAAGCAACCAGCATGGGACTTATGTGGTAAGAAAGCTTAATTTATGAGCTACAATTGACCGTTCACCCCGAAGTTTAGCGACATGTCGTTGCAGAGTTATGGTAAAAAGAAGCTGGAAGTATACTAAAAAACACTCGAATTTTAAACTTGAGGTAGTCAACTTTGAAAGAAAAATGATCACTCAATTTTGCATTAATTGTAAGAATATATAGATGATTATAAAGCTTAAAACATCTAGTTTTAGAATCCGATAGCCCCAGATTGCCAAATGAAACCATTCAAATTATATAGTCGATTTTGTGAGAAAATGGGGGTCCCGTTTTGACACATTTACTGTGTTAAAGGTGTGCAGTGAACCGTTCAGTGAGCAGATGTCTTCAAGTTTTCATTATGGGCCATACCCAAAGTACAGATCCTGTATTCTGTGCCGAAACCAAGACTTCACAGTTAACTTTTTGTCGAGTAATGTTTTCTTGAATAAGTCAATGCAGTAGGGGACATATGCTCCCGGCGGGAGCCTTTTCTGTCCAAACATTTTGAACCCCTCCCCCCTTAATTTCAACCCAGGTCTGCCCCTGTATATTGACTGCTTCCTGGTCATCAGGCAGACCGACAGTGGCGCAAGGGCGGCGCCAGGATTTTCCTGACAGGGGGCCGATTCCATATACTAGGGGTCGTATTTCCTCGACGAAAGCAAATTACTGTCCTCAAGACTTCATCAGAGTAACTGATTACAAAAGTTGGCAAATACTGGATCCAATATAATACAATAAAGAGTCGGCAATAAATAATATAATTTATAATAATATACAATAATAATAATAATAATAATAATAATATTAATATTAATAATAATAATAATAATAATAATAAATTAATAACAATAACAATAACAATAACAATGACAATAACAACAATAATAATAATAATAATAATAATAATAATAAATTGATAATAAATAATAATAATTTCTTCTTCTGCCCTGTGGACAACACTAGGAGGTACTTAATTTCCATTTCCTTGTTTATGATGAAATATTACTTGAACTGGATTGAATTGTGTTAATAAATGTCTGGAGAAACACACAGGCTGCAGTCATTCCTTGCTTGGTGTTCTCATAAGAAAAAAGCCTTCGTATATGGTGATCATTGATTTCATAATTTGATTGAAGGTGTTAATATTATTTAATAATTAAAAGTGAGTGAAGGGAAATCATTATTTTATATAACTTAAAAAAATGGAAAAAATAAAACAGTTTCCTTCTTTTTTTTTCCTTCTTCTTCTTCTTCTTCATCTTAGATTTAGATTTTATGTTGATGACCTTTACAATCTTACCTTCTCTACGTCATTAGGACACTATCATTATTTTTTAAGATGGTTATCAAGAGTCGAAACTATAAATGGATGCTTTATTTCTAGTTGAATGTGGTAACAACGAATTTTTATGTGCAAGTGGTGAGTGCATAGCGCTTAGTAAGAAATGCAACAATAATCCGTATGACTGTGCAGATAATTCGGATGAGCCCGATGGGGAATGCAACAGTAAGTATATTTTAACTATAGCGGTATAACATTATATATTATATGCATTCACACACACACAAACACACACCCATATATATATATATATATATATATATGTATATATATGAACAATTGGTTATTCTTGTTTGCTAGTTGTTTTGTTATACCTGTCTCTTATACACATCTAGATGTGTATAAGAGACAGCAACTATAATTTAACACATCAATAATAATAATGATCATAATAATAATTAATAACTTTTAACTAATAACTAACTTTTTTTTTTAATTGTTTCTCTTTTGAAGCAGAGGAAATAATAAATATAATAATAACGATAACAAAAGTATTTTTTTGATAATTGAAAATAATGATAGAATATATTAATAATAATAAAATAATAATGATAATAATAATAATATATTATTAATAATAATAATAACTAGACTTACTTTATCTGTAAAACAGATCATAGGTTTTTTTCCTCATTGCCATAATGAGAAGTGATGTTGAAATTACTAAAAAAACAAACTCATTTAAAAATGTTTATTTAGATCTATTAATTAATCTTTTGAGAAATTTAGGTATGAAACTTTAACCTTTTCAATGACCCTCAAAGTTACACCCGAATCCCAATCGTCTAATTTATAATTTATATAATTTATGAATTTTATTTTTTTTCCATGTAGCTTAAGTTAAACTGTCCCAAAAATTTAATTCAGATTAGTTAAATAGTTTTTGAAATATCTGGATCTGGGACGTTTTCCTTTCCACAGCCTATTCTGTAAGACCAGGCTATAATTGAGATAGGTGCCACTTGGAGAGGTAGAAATTCTCATATGGTTTTTCTAGACCAGTTTTTTATGGGGAATCATAATAATATGTGAGTTAAAAGGGGTGTAACCTGAGAACGTTTGCGTCAGGGCGCTTTTTTTAAAAATGGCCGCCAAAATCCAATAAACTACATATATGGGTAAAATAAGCACAGAAGTGGTAGGTTTGACCAACTTTTGAATATGTAATGATAGGAGTAAAGTATGACTTAGTAGCTAAAGTTATTAATGTGGAGATTTCGGGAGTCAATTGAGGGCGCATTTTAAAATGGCCGCCAAAATTAAAGAACAACTTAACAGCAGCTTCAATACCCTAAATAAATTAGTTTAATTTACAAAACATGAATGTAATAACAGCTGTTTTTAAACCCAAAATAACATATTTTAGGGTGTTAAGCTAACTCACCTTTGGAAAAGTAAATAAAAATACCCCTTTATATTAGCCCTTTTTCGGTTTTGAATTATGGAAAATATCACCAGAATCCTAAAAAAAAATCCATCTTCCTTACAAATATACGGTTGTTTTTCATTATTTTTGTGTAATACACAAGGTATTTCAGAGGACTACATAAACAACTACCATAATGTTCATGTATAAAGAAGGCATTAATTCATTTATTACATAGTCCTTTACTGTGTAACCATATGTTAAGCAATAATCTTCATGTATTGCTAATATCACTGCAATCTGAAAGTCTTCGTCTTTATTGTAAAGAGGTCTTGAACTTCCATGGGCATCACTGTCTCAATCATTTTTTGCTTTATTTGATCATTCCATATGTTGTGAATACTATTTTTATTGACCAAATCAGTTACGTCTGCTTAATTTCCATTCTTTAGCGATTAAATTTGCTCAAGTGCTCAAGGGTCTGCAAACATGGTGGTAGCAATGATATGTCTGTGATCTTGTTGCCTCTATTGAACATTTCACATCTTGCTTGATTTACATCTTTCCCCTTAACTCCATGCAGCAGTCTTCAAGTTCCTCAGACATCTTTTGTGACAGAAACATCTTAAACTTTAAAGTTGCAGAAAGTGTCAACAAAACTTTGTCTTTGACTACAGAAGCACTGAGATCCAATAAGTGATGATTTCTTCGCTTCTGAAAGTTAATGTCAATTGAATAACTTTCGGTATGTGTTTGCGTCTATAATGACCCTCTCTCCGCTGTCATAAAGATATACAGTAGCAACGACTGCAATGTCGATGTATTACTGTATTTGTTTTGTTATACTGTATGTTTTGTATTTGGTATGAGGGCCTCTTTGAGTCAGCATCGCTGTAAGAGCTACCCTCATAAAAGAAAGTTGAATAAATAAATAAATAAAAATGTCTCCAGAATGGAGTGGTTGATATTTATGCATTGGTTGTAATTACTTAAAGCATGCATTGCGTGCAGGACGATTTCGAGTCTGCTTTTCTTGGCTGCTACGAAGATCTGGAACTAATACAAAATCTCTTTCAGTGACAAGGATGCATTCTTGCAAATAGCAAGTGTATTCGAGAAGGTATCCGACCAGTTTGTCGCAGTCCAGTTGTTCACTAAAATCATGAAAGCCATCTCAGTTTGCAGAGACTCATTTTCCTGAAACCCAGAATGCCCAATCCAGTTCACTGAAATCATGAAATCCCAGTTTGCCAAGACTCAGTATTCCGAAACCCAGTCCAAATCTTTGTGTTACAAAAGTACAGCCTACTGTGCATTTGAAAGGAAGGAGCTTCATTTGTGTACAAATTAAAAGGAAAAATATTGGAAGACATCAAAGCTGTAGAAAAATACACTTGAAAGCATGGCTATCAGTTAAAATTAGAAATGAAATTAATGATAAGCATCGTACAATTCTAAGATATTCACCCTGCAAACCCTATCAGGATTGTTGTGCCAGATCCCTGACCACCGAGGCTCTAGTCGGCACCTTGAGTCAGACACCCTGTCGACAAATTTCTGGAGCCACAATTGGCTTGTGTGTATAATTGTAGATTAATATTAATTTGTTTATTTCCTTTATTATTTTTTAAAAATAAATTTATGTACTTATCGTAGGTATATGCTAATAAAACGTTTTAACTGCGAGGCCTATTAAATTGACTTTTATTTGCTGATAGCCAATTTATTTACAGATTAAAACAAAAAGAATCATATAACTACAATAAGCCGCTATGTCTTATACGAATAAATAGTACGAGAGTGTTCCAACATGAATGTTATGATGTGGTTAATGTTATACCGCTTTTATTTTATTTTCGACAAAGTGGATTCGTGGAAACTCTGTTTCAATAAACTGGGATTCGTAGTTTTTGTTTTAGCAAACTGGGTTTCAACAAACTGGGATACATAGTTTTTGATTCAGCAAACTGGCATTCGGCAAACTGTGTTTTGGCAAAGTGAACTAAAAAATCTGGCAGTCGGCAACCCAATCTGGCCTAGAACCACCAAGAAGAAGCCGACACGAAAGTCTTCCTGTATGCAAATCATGTTTTAACGAATAACAACCAAGGCATATCAATCATTCGTTCCCTTTCTCGAAACATCGATATTACAGACGATAACAAACCGGCTTTCTTTCGTAAAGGAAAACGTAGCTTCTGTAATCATAAACTGAGTTTGTTGAAACTTTCAGCAAATTTGGAGTTTTAGATGTTCTGTCACAAGAGTTGTCTGAAGAACAAAAATATGTCTCACTGCTGCTTGGAGTTAAGGGGAAATGTGTAAATCAACAACATGTTCAATAGAAAGTTTTCCAGAGACAAGATCACTGACATATCATTGCTGCCAACATGTTAGCAGAATCTCGAGCTTCAGATACTTACCAAACTTAATCGTTAAATAATGAAAATAAGTAGAGGTAAATGACTGTCAATAAAAACAGTTTTTATTGACACAAAAATAATGAAAACATTTATAAGGAAGATGGATTTTTAGGATTCTGGTGATATTTTCCATAATTCAAAACAGAAAAGTGCTAATATAAGGGGGCATTTTTACTTACTTTTCCAAATGTGAGTTCGCTTACCACCTTAAAATATTTTATTTTGGGTTTAAAAAGTTTACAGCAGTTATTACATTTATGTTTTGTAAATTAAACAAATTTATTTAGGGTATTGAAGCTGCTGTTAAGTTGTTCTTTAATTTTGGCGGCCATTTTTAAAAGCGCCCTCAATTGACTCCAGATATCTTCACATTAATAACTTTACCTACGGACATTAACATTTTACATGACCCTTAACATTACATTCAAACCCGGATCGTCACCAAAATTTAATTTCTTCCTTGTATTTTGGTTAAACCTTCCCGAAAGTTTCATTAGATTAGTTTATCCGTTTTAGATATATCTAGTCTGGGACGTTTTCTTTTGAATGGTTTTCATATTTACACCCTACTCCCACTCCTACTAAAACGTTTATAAATTGAGCCGTGACAAAATGTTATAGAAAGTTTTATTTATATCCATTGAGAGGTTTATTGAGATATTAAAGTAACCCTCTCAGATTTCAGATTCTTCATTTTAAAAATATAGCTTACTTAAATGCTTTTGTAGGATCATACAGATATAATAAGCCTGATTATATTAAGACTATCGTATATTACTATCTGATCGATTATCTTTTAGATTAAAATGCACTTTTTGTTGATTCTGGATACTTGAAACGATACCATAGATTACAGCGATCAATTGTCTGTTCACACTTTGATATTGTTAAACGTGTTTTTAGGCTTTTAGAAACGAAGCCTAAATAAATGTTTGATTGTTCAAAATGTAATATGTTTAGAAACAGTAACGTTTCAAAGATAATATTTGAAACCAATTAGATAAGCACGATGCTGACTGTGATGCGAATTTTAAAGTTAATACTTTAATGAAAACCTTGTTTTTTTTTTCAAATTAACGTAAAGTTAAGATAATTGTGCGAGACTGGTTTAAAAAATATTCTCAATTGAAAACGTTGAAGCAATAAAACATTTTATTGAACGAGGACGACCGCTACAAGATCCAATAAAGACCAAAGAAATCCGAAAAATGTGTTTTTTTTTAATAACTATGGACGTGCTTCTGTCCGGATGGCATACTAGAAGAATTATTTAAATATGCGAGTGATGGATTTTATAAACGAATTGTTAGCATTCTTAACACGTGTGTTGAAGAAAACAATTGTTGAATTGTGTTGGTGAGGGTATTTTCGTGCCA